CATGAACGGATATGAATTGTGTAGCAATAATAATAATATAATTACTGCTAAAATAACTAAAAAACCAAACGGATGATAATAAAAAGCACCGGTAAAATATGTATGTCTATATACATATATATATGTATAACAATGGCAAACTTAATAAATCATCGAATAAATAGTAAAACCGAAGCGATAACAACAACAATAATAATAATAGGAGTTGCTTGAATAGAGCTTAATAATGATAGTAATTATGATAATAACAATAACAGTAATATTTAAAATCTAATAATATTCAACTGAACGAAAAATATAGAAAAAGAAATATGAAAGTACAAGTCGGCCGTCACAGTAGGATAACGAATAAACGAAAGCTTCGCAATTTACATCAACGGATAGTTGGTCCCCTTACACGTGCTCGCCCATACTCATTTGCTAGTAACACTAAGACTTGGCCCATTAGGGATCAAAAACAGTCCCGTGAGTCCACCAGAAAATAAACCGAGTGGGGATAAAATATGCCGATCGCTTTAGGTTTAGATTATTCAAATTACTACGTTTATAAAATCATTCCACATTTGTTAGCACCAACAGCAGATGTTATTGATTGTGCTTCAATGAACCGACCGCTACATTTATTCAGCTATTACCAGACGGCTGTTCTCGTAATCTGTTCGAGAATAATAAATGAATATATAAATATACATATATATAAATATATGTTATATACATATAATAAATATTGATGTCTGATATGGTATAATCAAGACTAATGTACAATTACCTCACGATGATAATAACCACAATGAGCATCATCACGCGTCTTTGTTTCGCGGCAATAATAATAATAATAGTGATAATAATAATAATAATGATAATAATAAATGTATATACAGATCTATAATTACAGAAGAGTACTTTCGAAAGAGTAAACCATGTACAGAGAATATGTACAATTTGGAGCAGATGAAAGATCGAACAAACAATTCGAAACAACAAGACATTAATAATGAACAGTATTGAATAAGCTCATGTCGAAAGGAATTGAAACAGCAGCTCATGAATATCAGATGTCTGTACATTTTGAATCATAAATACGACAAAACTGTAACAATGAATAAGTTATTTACTAACAGTAATAAATAACTAAAAGAGCACAATCTTACTCATTAACGAGATTATAAGTCACCCGTTCCTGGGTAAGGCTCATCGTCACATACATTTCTAGATGGTTCTGTATATATGCATTATGTATTTTACAATAATTGTGATAATAATAAATAATAATAATAGTAACAATAATGATAATTATCATTACATGATACAATATAGTAAACCATACGAAATCGCGTCCAATATAATATAACAATAAAATCTATTAATAAAGCCATCGAAAAGAACACTTAATAATAATTATAATTAATATTTATATTCATAATTATTCACACGATATAGTTATATAACAACATATATATTAATAACAATAACATAACAATTATCACCGTTACTATTACTGTTACTATCATTATCATACAATATGAACAAATAATAAAGTCAATCACGCAGCTGCCGTTCTCAGGAGTAATGCCATCAGTCTTGCCATTATACCATTTTCATCATTTATTACTTTATTATTACCATTTTTATTATTATTATCAATATTAAATGATTTCTTAATTGAATCATTTATACGTTTGATTATCGGTTTATCATACTCCTTATTATTATCATTTTCATAGTCGTAATAATTCCAATCATTCATTTTGTTACTATTTGCATAATTATTATTGTTGTCGTCAGATGTATTATTATTATTATTATAAATTGATATTGGTGAATAAAACGAAACGACACGGTGAACGGGCGGAGATGTTGGTGGCAAACGACGTCTTGCCTTCTCTTTCGGATCAAAGTAAGTAAACATTAAATACCTGAAACTCGTTATTATTATTCTCATTCTTTTCGTTATTACTATCAACATTATTGACATTTGCGTTCGGAACAAAGGATTTCTTGCTAATCCTTCATGAAATCTGGAAGAGTGCCCCGTTTTTCACGATCTCCTGCCCTTTCCCTTCCGGCTCACGGGACTAGACCTCTCCCCCCTCCCCTACCCATCTGGACCTCATCAACCTCTTGAATGAGATAAAGATAATTAATAAACAATAACAATAACAATATTAACAGCAATGAGAAAAGACGAACACTGATAACAGTAATAATAAATAACAGTAATAAAGAAAACAAATCTTACCCATCTTCGTATTTATATTTGATTCTGACGTCGAATTTCCGATGTCTGAATACCAAATGTTTCATATTCAGAACTGGAACCTCATTGCCATACACCTTAAATCATTTAATCTTTAAATGAACGATTGATTTGCTTACGAACTTCTCGAAACACCACTCAGTTACAAATGGAACTTAAGCATGACGATTTCAATCTTTGACGATATAATGAAATCCAATCACAATTACACACTTATAACGTTGATAACAAACCACTGAAGAATAAATACGTAAGAAACGAACCTCATTATTATAATTATTTACATCACCAACACACATCGCAGCACGTACAAAATCACTCGGACGAATCGAGAGAGCGTCAATCAGTATGGAATGAAACGGTACCACTTCACGACGATTTTGCCATTTCTAAATTTCATTTTCATTCAATTACTTTTACAATTATTATTATTATTATTATTATTATTATTATTATTCTAGTCTTTACTAATATCAAATCACTATTATTTACATATACATATAAACAGTTGATAATAT